GGATTGTGGGAGAGCCTATATATACGAATATTACTGGCAGGCTCACTCTCTTGGCCTGGGACGCTCTACAGAATGGTTGGGTTATATAACAATAAGTGTATATATATATCCTCAGATATATACACAGGTGTCGCGCTCCATATATACCAGTAATCATATGAATAGTACTGTGACAAAAACTTATTGTGCTAAAAAACAGTGCAACATATAGTGCTCAACAAAAATGAATGCTGATTCAACAGAAAGTCCTCTTTATGCTTTAAATATATTCAGTGACAAATTCTGTGCCGTGCCACACTCCCCGTGCTCTAAAGATAGATGTGCGCTCACCTCCTTCTTTAGCCAACCACAGTGGCTAACAGCGCTTTTTGTCCTCTCAGGACTAGGTAGTGATCTTCATATATTATATATATATATATATATATATATATATATATATATATATATATATATATCCATCCATGCCATGGATATATTGCCTTTTTCCTGCCACCTTCCTCCTTCCACACTGAGCCTCAATGGATAGTAGGGATGGTTAGTAGTATTTCCTCCTCCCAGTAAATTGGGATACCATGTAAAAAAGAGCCACAATGGTGCCTTATCCTTTGTGAGGTTAAGTAATTTATTATGAAAAAATTTCCACTCACATTGTGCTGTCTCTCACAGAGCTGTATCCAGCAGAGCTTGTGCCCAGATCCTGTGTTTGTAAGTGCCGCTCGTCCACCGCGGCGTCGTGACATCAGAGCCCCTTTTTTTTCTCCCCTAGGGATCTCAATAAGTGTATATTTATTACTTTGTGTGAACGTTAGAGCATCTACAAACTATGGTATAGATAATGGAATTTACACAGCTTTTATTTTCTGACAGCCCATCACTTTCCTTGAGGTGCTAAAATACCAGGATAGTACAAACACCCTCAAATGACCCCTTTTCAGAAAGTAGACATCCTAAGCTATCTGCTGAGAGGCATATTGAGTCCATGGAAGACTTATTTTTTTCCACAAGGTTTTGGAAAGTGACACTTTTTTTTTTTTCTTATACACAAAGTTGTCATTTAAATGCTGTATTTCTCACACAAGCCATGGTATATGTGGAATTACACCCCAAAATACATTCTGCTACTTCTACCGAGTATGGAGATACCACATGTGTGAGACTTTTTGGGAGCCTAGCCACATACAGGAGCCTGAAATCCAATGACCACTTTGAAAGCCTGAAGAAGGTGCGAAACTTCCTCATTTCACTTCCTCACTACCCATCACAGTTTCGGAGGCCCTGAAATGCCAGGATAGCACCAACACCCCCCCCAAATGACCCCTTTTTGGAAAGTAGACACTCCAAGGAGTTTAAAAAGAGGCATGGTGACTACATTTGATGCAGATCTCCTTTTTTCTCACAAGGTTTTGAAATATTAAAAAAGAAAATAAAAAAAATGTTTTTGTTTTCTTTCCTCATTTTCCAAAAACTTGTGTCACCAAACCAGATCTGCAAAATACTCACCATGCTTCTTATCAAATTCCTTGGGGTGTTTACTTCCCAAAGAGAGGTCAGGGCCTCCGAAACTGTGATAGGTAGTCAGGAAGTGTAATGAGGAAATAAAGCCCTTTAAAAGCCTGAAGTTCTTATTGGATTTTGGGGTCCTGTACTTGGCTAGACTGCCAAAAAGTCCCCATACTCGGGAGAAGTAGCAGAATGTATTTTGGGGAGTAATTCCACATATACCCATGGCATGTGTGAGCAATAAATCATTTAAGAGACAATTTTGTTTAACAAAAAAAAAAATTTTTTTTTGTCATTTTCCAAACACTTGTGGTTAAAAAGTAAATTCTTCTATTGACTCAACATGCCTCTCAGCAAATAGTTTGGGGTGTCTACTTTCCAAAAAGGGGTCATTTTGTGGGGTGGGGACATATAAAAGTACTGTGGGCAGGCAGTAAGCTGTTAAGGAACCGGTACCTGCTGTGACCTTATTATTAGTTTTCCTACTCATTATCTAACTTATAAAAATTGTCTAGCTGAATCAAAATTTACCTGCCTAAGAGAGAACCTGAAGGGAATTGGGGAAGAAGGAAAACTATTAAATTTGTACAGTTTTAACACAGTAAGGGCTCATTTACACTTGCTTTGACTTTAACACACATTAAAGTGTCTTCCACTTCAGCATGCTTTTTTATGTGTTTTTGATGCTTCTGTGATGCTTCAAGTGGTTTTAAAGCCTTAAACTTTTCTCTGTTGCAAGATCCCCCCAGCCTCTGCCATATTCTTACCTGAGCGTGATCCAATCAAGGGATGTGCATGAGAGCAGTGGCTCTCGCCACTGTTTCTTTCCTCATTGGGCAGACTGATAGCCATTGGCTCCTGCTGCTGTCAATCAAATGCTGTGATGAGGGAGCAGGGGCGGGGTCAAGCCACCCGGTCAGTGCTAATAGACGTGGGCAGGGCATCTCAGTAGCAAACCTGCACGGGAGCTGCGATTGAAAGTGGCTTTTCATGGGGGCACTTGCCTAAGAGGAGGGACTTGGAGTGCCGGCAGGGGGACCCTAGAGGTGGAAGATCGGGGTTGCTCTGTGTAAAAACCATTGCACGGAGCAGGTAAGTATACCAGTTTGTTATATAACTGAAAAAAAATGAAGGTGTAATGCTACTTTCAGTGATGCTTTGTTGATGCTTTTTTGAAACTTGGCAAATGCCCTGTGTGTGTGATGATTTTCTATTTGTTTTAAAGGGGCCCAGTAGTACCCCCATATAGCAGATCCGCAGCTCATTAGTACTCCTGTTAAGCAGATCCCCAGCTCATTAGTACTCCTTTTCAGCAGATCACCACCATATTAGTACCCTCATTCAGCAGATACCCTGCTCAATAGTACCTTCAGCTCTGCTGATGCCCCACTCAGTAGTACCCTCAGCTCTGCTGATCATCCCACTCAGTAGTAACCCTCAGCTCTGCTGATCCCCCAGTCAGTAAAAATCCCCCAGCTCTGCTGATCCCCCAGTTAGTAGTACCCCCCAGCTCTGTAATCCTCCTCTCTCTGGTCCCTGCTCATCTCCCACTATATTGCTCTCATGCTGCACACTACATGTGACATTTCTATTTTCTCCTGCTCCAGTCACTCTCTCTTCAGTTCCCACTCACCTTCTGTTATAGCATTCCCTTGTTGCACACCACGTGTGCTGTCTGCTAGTTGCTCCACTCCAGTCCAGATGCTGCTCACCTTCTTGCTGCTGCTCGCTGCACGCCAGATGTGACTTTTACACCAACACTTCCAGAATATAAACACATGAACAGAAAGTGACAGCTGATGACATTTTTCCACTTTGCTTGTTGGTTTCCCAGTGCATCCTGGGATATTCTTATACCTGCAATGCCTCCAAAACAGAACGAAGCTAAAGCTGATTAAAAGCCTCTCAAAAGCTGCAAGTGCTGTTAGGGAGCTTTGTCAGACTTTTATGGAGGCTTTGGAGATGCTTTGAATCACCAAGAAAGCGACATGGAGTATAATTTTTGAAGCAAAGCAAATTCAATTTGTGAACAGGACTGTAAGCTTACCATTTTATTTAGTGACAGGTGCTTTGATAGCCATTCAGAGTGCTATAAAAAAGCATGTCCAGTGCCATACTTTGAAGCAAGTGTAAACAAGCCATAACAGTGACCTCTTCTGACAGAATTTTTTTTTTAAAGTTAACATGCCAACACAGTTCCAGTGATCATCATGAATGACTGCCATGGTGATCACAAGATTAGTAGGAGGAGCAAGCTCACAGCATCGGTGCATGTGAGAGCAGGCTGGGCGCTGGAGGGGAGGAGGCACGCTGTCAGAGGTGGGATAGCAGGGGCTTCCAGACACAGGAGAGGCACAGTCAAGAACTGAGAGGAGGATAGCTGCAGGAGGAGACGGACTCACTGGCAGGTGGAGAAGCCAGTAAGCTGTAGTACTGGATGGGGCGGTAGTTGGGATACGCCGCCAGGAGGAACAAAGGGTAGACACGTAACACACTGACAGGGGAACTCTGGCACACTGACTGACACTAACAGGAGATGCTGCAAACACACCCAGAGAGTGAAAAAAAGCAGTGATAGGTCTGACTGCAAGAGCTGTGGTACTGTGTGAGCTCTGTGAACACTGAATCAGCGGAGTACTGGGAGTAATTTTGAGTACTGGGAATAATTTGGAGTACTGGGAGTATTTTTGGAGTACTGGGAGTATTTTTTTACATGTTGGAAGTATTTTTGGATTACCGGGAGTATTTTTGAAGTACTAGGAGCAATTTGAAGTACTAAGAGTAATTTTGGAGTGCCAGAAGTACAGTATCTTACAGAAGTGAGTATACCCCTCACATTTTTGTAAATATTTTATTATATCTTTTCATGTGACAACAGAACAGGCCTCGCCATGGTCGACCAAAGAAGTGTGCATGTGCTCAGCATCATATCCAGAGGTTGTCTTTGGTAAATAGACGTATCAGTGCTGCCAGCATTGCTGCAGAGGTTGAAGGGGTGGGGAGTCAGCCTGTCAGTGCTCAGACCATACGCCACACACTGCATCAAATTGGTCTGCATGGCTGTTGTCCCAGAAGGAAGCCTCTTCTAAAGATGATGCACAAGAAAGCCTGCAAACAGTTTACTGAAGACAAGCAGACAAAGGACATGGATTACTGGAACTATGCCCTCTGGTCTGATGAGACCAAGATAAACGTATTTGGTTCAGATGGTGTCAAGAGTGTGTGGTGGCAGCCAGGTGAGGAGTACAAAGACAAGTGTGTCTTGCCTACAGTTAAGCATGGTGGTGGGAGTGTCATGGTCTGGGGCTGCATGGGTGCTGCCGGCACTGGGGAGCTACAGTTCATTGAGGGAACCATGAATAACAACATGTATTGTGACATACTGAAGCAGAGCATGATCCCCTCCCTTCAGAGACTGGGTCACAGGGCAGTATTCCAAACACACCTCCAAGATGACCACTTTCATGCTAAAGAAGTGGAGAGTAATGGTGATGGACTGACCCAGCATGTCTCCAGACCTATAACACAAGATATAAGGCGAGGGCAGATAATATGGTAGCTGCTAGCACAAAAGGCAAGGTAACAAACCCACAGTAATCAATTCAAATGTAAGTGCAGCACTAAAGCTTAAGTGATAAATGCAATCATAGAGTGCTTATGTGAATAAAAGTGTTCATACAATAAAAACATCTCAGATCATATAAAATCATAGAATTATAAAAAAAACTCTAAAAATCTGAACATAAATAGTGAATATAAATAGTCCGTGGCACTACAGGTCACAGAAGTGCCAAGTGATACGTTTGTGCTTTTTAGCAATATTAGTGATTATACATAGTCCATGGCACTACAAGTCACAGCAATGCCTGGTGATTGTGGAACTACAAGGTGCAGCAATACCAGCTGGGATGCTCGAGAGTGCTCATGATCCAACATGGGAATCCACCACCTTATAAGGATGCGCACTCACCAGAACGCTACTTGTATAATAGCATTAATGCTGATCCTTATGGGGGGTCTCAGGACGCCATAAATAGGGACCGGACTTCTCCAGGGTCAGGGCTATGCAAAACCAGCAAAGGATCCTCCAGGATGGCCACCACTCCGAACTCCGGCCACGGCGGCGTGATGTCAGCAGGTTAAGGCTCATCCAATGCGTTTTGTGCGCATGCACATCTTCAGGGGCACGCATACGAGCATCTGTGGGGCATCCTCAAACGGAAGGTGGAGGAGTGCAAGGTCTCTAACATCCACCATTCTTCGTGATGTCATTGAGGAGTGGAAGAGGACTCCAGTGGCATCATGTGAAAGCTCTGTTGAACTCCATGCCCAAGAGGGTTAAGGCAGTGCTGGAAAATAAAGGTGGCCACACAAAATATTGACACTTTGGGCCCCATTTGGACATTTTCACTTAGGGGTGTACTCACTTTTGTTGCCAGCCGTTTTTTACATTAATGGCTGTGTGTTGAGTTATTTTGAGGGGACAGCAAATTTACACTGTTATACAAGCTGTACACTCACTACTTTACATTGTAGCAAAGTGTCATTTCTTCAGTGTTGTCACATGAAAAGTGAAAGAAATTAATTAATCAAATTTATGATTTGGCAATTATATTGATGGCAAGCTTGCAAAATATTTGGTTTTTATGATTAATCATAATTAATATTAATATGTGGGAATGGCTTTAACAAATGGTAGTATTACAATTCTTCAGTTATAGCTGAGACCGAAAAATATGAGTTCGTTAAGCTGAGACTAGCTAAATCAGCTGATAGCTGAGTATTCTATATTTCGGCACAGCTGGTTAGAAGTCTCTAGTAAATGTCTAGGGTATTAGGAGTGACTCATTATAGGCTTACTATTACTTAATGTATTTTTAATAGTATCTGTGTGTATTTAGTATAATTTATAATATTGATACATATATAGATTAGTGATTATACATTGATATGTTGTAAAGATACGTTCTTAAGTTATATTATCATTTAAATATGAATAGCTGAGGCTTATAGTATTATGTAGATCAGCATATGTACCTGTCCATCAAACATCATATATATATATATATATATATATATATATATATATATATATATGTGTCCCCTGTCTTCTATGATATTGCTTTGCTACGAGTACTGACTTCCTTACAAGGCCTTAAGAATCTCAAGCTATGATACTCATTCGCTTCATAAAAGGTCCATAAGGGACAGTGGACAGAGACTCTCTTGAATACATCACACACACACACTAATGGGGACTTTCTTTAAACTTCTGCTTAATATTTCTACAGTAGTTTTATCTACATGGAACTGTTCATAATACACTTTACATTGTTATTTTAAGCCATTGTGTGATAAAATAAAATCACACTTTATTTTTTATTTTAACGGCTCTTTCATTCATAATCGCCTCAAGACACTAAAAGAAGTATTATATGTGTCTAAAATCCAACAAAAAGATATAGTAAAATCTTTACAAAAATGTGAGGAGTGTACTCACTTCTGTGAGATACTGTATATTTGAAGTACCTGGAGTCATTTGGAATACCAGGAGTATATTTGGAGTACGGGGAGTTTGTTGAAGTACTGGGAGTAATTTGAAGTACTGGGAATATTTTTGGAGTTCTGAGAGTATTTTTTGCATACCAGAAGTATATTTGGAGCACTGGGAGTCATGTGGAGTACTTTCAGTATATTTTGAGTACCGGAAGTATACTTGGAATTCTGGAAGTAATTTGGAGTTGCTTCTCTGGAAGCCCAGATCCTGGATCTAGAGTATCAGGTGTCAACACTGTGAAGCATCAACAACAATGGGGGAACTGGAGCTGCTGATTCATGAGCAGTATTTTGACTTCGCAGGAATATCAAAAACTTGGTTGACAGCTCACATGACTGGATGGCAACTATCCAGGGGTATTCCTTGTATCAGAGAGCCCGGGAGGGTAGAAGAGGGGGAGGGGTGGGCCTGTATATTAAGAGCGATCTACTGGTAAATGCAAGGGACGACACTGCAAATAAGGCAAGGGGGAAAGTTGAGTCCCTTTCGGTGGTGCTTCAAAAAGAAGAAACAGGTGGGAAAATAATAGTGGGGGTATGCTACAGGCCCCCTAACCTCAAGGTTGAGGAGGAGTCTGACCTCCTGTCACAGGTGGAAATGGCGGCGTGGCATGGCAAAGTCATCATAATGGGGGACTTCGTCTACCCAGATATTATCTTGGCAGAAGGAACAGCTCACTCATTTCAGGCTCTTCATTGCTTAAGTATCTTACAGGACAACTTCTTATACCAAATGGTGCATGCCCCGACTATAAATAATGCATTGCTAGACCTTATAATTACAAATAACACAGATCTGGTCGCGGATATAGAAAAAAGGGACAACTTGGGATCCAGCAATCACAAGATAATTACATTCAACATAAATCATAGGAAAAGGAACCACATCGGTAGTGCAAGAACACTAAATTTTAAGAAACCTAGAAATATAGAAAAGTGACGGCAGAAAAAGACATAGTGGTCCATCGAGGAATGCAATAAGAAGTGTAATAATGCAATCAGATAGACCACAAGAGATGCATAGCGGAGGAGAGTAAAAGAAATCCCCAAAAATTCTTTGCATATATTAATAGTAAAAAAGTGAAGACAGAACATATTGGCCTCATTAAGAATGATGAAGAGAAGTTGGTTCTAAATGATAAAGAGAAGGCAATTGTACTAAATACATGCTTCAACTCAGTCTTTACTAAGGAAAAGGAGGGGTACAGTAACCATGACTGTATCACTAGAAACACATCACAGAATGTACCCTTGTGGCTTACAGAAGCCAGTGTCGGATAATGACTTGAAAAGCTTAACGCAAATAAATCACCAGGACCAGATAGCTTACACCCGAGAGTTCTCAAAGAACTCAGGCCATAGCCAGACCATTATTCCTAATTTTTATGGACAGCATGCTGACAGGAATGGTAACAACGGATTGGCAAAGGGCCAACGTGGTATCAATGTTTAAAAACGGACAGAAATATATACCTAGAAACTACAGGACAGTCAGTCTAACATCAATAGTATTTAAACTATTGGAGGGGATGATAAGGGACTATATCCAAGATTTTGCTGATGAATATAGTATCATCATTAGTAATCAGCATGGCTTTACGAAAGGTCATTCTTGCCAAACCAACCTGTTAGCATTCTATGAGGAAGTGAGCTGCCATCTAAATAAAGGAATGGAGGTGGATGTAATGTATCTGGATTTTGCAAAAGCATACAGTCCCCCATAAACACCTAATTTACAAACTGAGGTCTGTAGGCATGGACCATAGGGTTTGTACATGGATAGAAAGCTGGTTACAGGGGTACGTCCAGAGAGTGGTGATAAATAATGTGTACTCATACTGGTCTGGAGTGGTACGTGGGGTACCCCAAGGCTCTGTCCTGGGACTAATTCTATTTAATTTATTCATAAACAATATAGAGGATGGTATAAATAGCTCAATCTCAGTGTTTGCTTATGATACAAAACTAAGCAAGGCAATAACATCACAACACGATATAGAAACTTTACAAGAAAACGTTAATAAAGTAAAAGGGTAGGCAACTGAAATGAAGGTAAATGAAGATTAATGTTAAAACATTTAAAGTCGTGCATATGGAGGCCAAAATTTGAATGCAAGTTACTCACTAGGGAAAGAACCTCTGGGGGAATCCAGGATCTGGGGGTTTTAGTAGATGACAGGCTCAGAAATGGCATGCAATGTCTAGCTGCAGCAAGCAAAGCTAGCAGAATATTAGCATGTATAAAAAGGGTAATTACTCCAAAGATAAAACTATAATCCTGTCACTTTGTAAAACTCTGGTTCGACAGCATCTGGAGTATGCCATCCAGTTCTGGTGCTCAGGATGGATGTGCTGGAGCTGGAGAGAGTCCAGAGAAGAGCAACAAAGTTAATAAGGGGGCTGGAAGACAACAGTTATGAGGAACAATTACAAACATTAAACTTATTCTCCCTGGAGAAGAGACGCTTGAGAGGAGATATGATAGCAATATACAAATACCTCAATGGTGATTCTAACATAAGGAATAAACTATTCAGTCTCTGCGAGTATAAAAAGACGAGGGGCGACTCAATGAAACTAGAGGAGTGGTTTAAACTTAAACTGTGTAGGGGTTTTTTCACTGTCATGGTGGTAATGATGTGGAACTCACTTCCACAACCAGTAGTGTTAGCGGGAAGTATTGATAGTTTAAAAAAAAACTCTTAGATGGGCATCTTAGCGAGAATAATATACAGGAATATGGGATAGGACTTTTGACATGAATGTACGCACACCCACATGGGTTGAACTGGATGAACTGGTGTCTTTATTCAACCTTACTAACTATCTAACCATGCTGACTGGTTCCCTGAGAACACATACACATATTGATTGTGGTCATCTGGGGGTTAAATTAAAATAATCAAAATCATGTTTTGCCTATTCTGACTGTAAATCACATCACTGAGAACTTGTTAATGAGATAGTATACATTTTTTCCACAGATTTATACCTGAGATGGATTTATTTTGGGCAGTCCTTGCATTTCTCCATTCTGTGCAAAGCCAACAATATGATGTTTCATCCTGTGTAACTAGAGCCTCACTTTATCTTTTGGCATGTTGTCAAGACAAATGTAAAGCTATGAATACGGTAAAGTGTTTCTAATTTGTTATCTATTACTTCTTAAAATAATAGCATCATCTTTAAAAATACACTCAGTAAAAAATAAAAAATATGCCTTGAGATGTATACAGGTACAGTGGATATAAAAAGTCTACACACCCCTGTTAAAATGTCAGGTTTCTGTGATGTAATAAAATGAGACAAAGATAAATAATTTCAGAACTTTTTCCACCTTTAATGCGACCTATAAACTGTACAACTCAATTGAAAAACAAACTGAAATCTTTTAAGGGGGGAAGTAAACATAAAAAAAACTAAAATAATGTGGTTGCATAAATGTGCACACCCTGTTATAACTGGGGATATAGCTGTGTTCAGAATTAAGCAATCACATTCAAAATCATGTTAAATAGGAGTCAGTCTCCATCTGCCATCATTTAAAGTGCCTCTGATTAATCCCAAATAAAGTTCAGCTGTTCTAGTAGGTCTTTTGTGAAATTTTCTCAGTCGCATCCTACAGCAAAAGCCATGGTCCGCAGAGAGCTTCCAAAGCATCCGAGGGATCTCATTGTTAAAAGGTATCAGTTAGGAGAAGGGTACAAAAGAATTTCCAAGGCCTTAGATATACCATGGAACACAGTGAAGATAGTCATCCAGTGGAGAAAATATGGCGCAATAGTGACATTACCAAGAACTGGACGTCCCTCCAAAATTGCTGAAAAGAAGAAAACTGGTCTGGAAGGCTGCCAAGAGGCCTACAGCAACATTAAAGGAGCTGCAGGAATATCTGGCAAGTATTGGCTGTGTG